GTGTGTGTGTGTGTGTGTGTGTGTGAGAGAGAGTGTGTGTGCGTGCGTGTGTGTGTGAGAGAGAGAGAGAGTGTGTGTGCGTGCGTGCGTTTGTGTGTGCTGCATTTACAATATGTATTTTGTGAACCAATTTGTCCCTTTTTTCACTACATTTGTTCCTCTATTATTATTATTTTTTAAATATCTGTTTCAGATTCTCCACTTAAATATTTCCTCATCTGCTTAATAAATAAATTAATAATAAATAAAAATAAATAAATAAATAAAGGTCTTACAAAAATTAATTCAAATATAGTTTCCAATTATCTGACTTAAATAGTGTTACCTGACTCCTGAGCTACTCCTGATCATCTCCCTGCTTAAACCATTCATGTTCTAACAGCTGCTCTAATGTTGGTGTTTCATCTGGATCATATTTCATGCAGAGGCATATCAGATCCTGACATTCTGTATAGGTTTTGAGGAAAGCATTGGTTAGTCATGTATGTTCTTTATGATCATGTGACACGCTAATGTCATCATGTACAGATATTACTTCTGACCAGCCAGCTTAGCTACTAAATATTTACGTTACCAGCCATTCAGAACTGGTAAACAATAATGTCTAGCTGTTTCTGTATTTCAGTTTGCATTTGATGGGACCTCCGTGATATCACACAGAGGCTTTATGTGTGTCTTTAACAGTGTCATTGTTATTGCCTCACCTTTTGAACAGCGGTTGGAATCAAACCTTGGATTGTTTTCTAGAGCAGACTGGCCTTCCACCATTCTGTACAGTAGGTTTCCCAGAGACAACACTGTCTCACTGAGTGCGTATTTGTGCTGCACATAAAGCTCCGGCACCACATGTCCTGTCCAAGCAACCAAGAGAGATTCAGAGTTGAGCAAACATTTCATTTAGAAAAAATAATACATCAATGAAGCATTAGTCTACTTTCTACACACAGTTACTCGCTCTGCCATCATAGAGCATAATGGTAAGCGAACTCACCTCTGTATTGGTTGTCTGCATCATCACAACCTTCAATAAGTTCTCCACAGCCAAAGTCTATCAGTTTGAGCTGCAGCGTGTCTGTATTGATCAGGATGTTGTCCACCCTGATGTCATTATGGGCGACACCTCGGTCCATACAGTGTTTGGCTGCGAGAACTGCCTGGAGCATAAAGCGACGTGCTTGATTTTCATCTAAGTGACGCCTGTTGAGTTTGAGGAAACTTTTCAGGGTCATGCAGGGCTGCGGATACTCCAAGATGAGGATGTGATGATGTGCCTCTTCAAACCAGTCCAGCATCTGGACAATCTTAGGGTTTGTCTGAGATTTTTTCACCAGCAGATTTAGAGCCACTTCCATGATCAATGGCGTGGAATAGCCAGGCTAGAGAAAAATGTTCAACAAAAGGTTAGCTGACTATGTTTTACCTATTTGATGTATTATGTTTGATTTATTTGGGTGTTACAACTTACAATAATGATATAATCATCCTCCTTATACTTAGGAATGATCTTGATGGCAACCTGCAAAAGGAAAAGAAAACTTAATTTTTACCAAGCATGGGTAAATTAATCATATTAAATCTGAATCTGCAATAAGCAATCACTCATCTATTTATATTTGTTTTTATTAAAACAGTGGATGTTCAACTAGAAGTCAGGTTCACAAAAAAATACTGGGCAAGTAAAAAGCAAACAAGTAGCAAAAGGTTTGGTAAATAGAGTGAAAGTGGCTCTACCTGCTGGCCATCAGATTTGCGAGTCCCCTTAAACACAGTGCCGAAACCTCCTATTCCCAGTCTCTGTCCCATTTCATATAGGGAGGAAAATGAAACCGGTTCATCGGGATGTGTTGCGCCAGGAGTCGGCCTGAGACTGGATGGACCTGGAACATGCATTAACTCGGAACTGAGGCCGGATGGACCCGGCAGTGGATCTGCTGGATCCTGGAGAGCCATTGGCCCCAGGCCTGATGGATCTGGCTGTGGATCTGCTGGATCTGTTGGCTCAACAGCAGATGGACCAGGCCGGGGATCAGGTGAAACTTTGTTGCCACCGAAGATGGCGCTATTTACAGCCTGCCACGTTCTCTTGAAGAATGCATGGATGCCTTTCTTTTTCTTCATTTTTGTTTGCTTTTCTAAAGAAAGAGAGAATAGAAATAGAAGAGTAACAGAAATGACCACCAGAGGACCTTTTATTTGATTTGCATTTGAAACTTTTAAAACCTGCCTTCATGGACCCTCTTCACATTTCCGGGGTTCTCAGCAGCACAAGCAGTCATAGTTCAGTAAACTTATAATGACAGGAACAGACACTATGGCAAATATAAATTTTTGCGTGTCCATTTGCCTCAATAGCAAAAGAAAAACATCGTGTTTTAATGATTTTCATGACTGAGACATATGCACGTAAACACTCATGCAGCAGCGTTAACTAGTTTTCTTTCATTTAATAGAGCCAAGGAAATATAATACAAAGTATAGTATTATAAATGTACATTACATTTATTTATATATATATATATATATATATATATATAA